ATTTGGAAAACGAGGGATTCGCAATCGAGGGTAGTTATCGTTACGTTCCGAAGCTTATCAAGCTTCACCATGCCACTGAGCTGCACTATATTTCAGCTGTTTGATTTCTGTTTATTCCATAAACTATTTTATCATTTTCTTGGAGTTTTACTTTGTTCCAGCTATTTCCCTGCCATAGATAGTAGGTCTGATAAATGCTGTTGTCCGGCAATCGTATCGCTGAAAACAGTCACATCGTTAGCATGTTTTAATTCTGTGATGCCTTGTTGGATATTTTGAGATACGCCTGGAAAATTACCGAGGCCGTATTTCTGATGTTGCTCAATAAGTACATAGTCCACTACAATATTGAACGGCATTGGCGATAACATCCTTCCTTGTCGGACTCCAAAATTGTTATGAAAGTTGTCTGATTGATCGCCTTTTACATTTACGATGTTCACCATACTTCCGTACATCTGTACATGTTCCGCCATAAGGATACGATTTTGGCAGGAGAGCCACACTGTGGAATGATTTTCAAAATTGCATATACATGATGAAATCTATTGCAGTGCGGAAGTTTACAATCGCGGCATCGAATGACAGTTCTGCATCTAGATGCTGAAAGGTACGGTGCAGAGTGTGATGTGGTCAGTGTCTGAGCATGAGTGACCACGACTAACAACGATCTGATTCTATTTTTGCATTCCTCCTATTAAACTGTGTATTCTTTCGCGGATCTCCGTCGACGACACTTTACCGAAGATTGGCATTACCGTGGGTCCTCGACAGTTACTTCACTGTATTGTCTCTTTTACTGAACAGTGGGGACATTTTGTCCAGCTATTGTGTCATGTATATTCCGTCGACTTCGAGTACCTCTGCAGAGTACCGTTGCTATAGCTTTGTGGCATTCTAGTTTACGTGTTCCAAGTTCTAACTTCTCTAGCGAAAGAGCTTCAATGATTTGTCAGTTTTAGCTGGCGATTCTGTTCGTTGAATATGCAGGTCTTCGTGATCTACATTCAGGGCTTCTTTGGGTGCTCTTTTCGTCTTTTTGGATTGCAAAGGGATCGGCTGACACGTTCCTGCTTATCACGAATTAATTCCACGTGTCTTCTTTTCGATCGACAGTATGTTCATAGATCTATGACCTTCTTTGCGATTACCTTTCTTTGCTGCAGTCTTCATTATTGCAGCTGTTTTGTTCAAGTACTACTTTTTACCAAATAGTTGACGTGTACAATATGAACGAGTCGACAGAGCCCTAATTTATATTCAGACGTGGATAACCGCAAGTAGCTGTTCTTCGCGGCATTTTCTCTAGGTGTTCCAGCGTTTTCTTCGTGATCCATTCGCTTTTCTTCTTAGTCCGTTATCTTATTACTTTTCTGGCGGCCTCGGAAATGTGTGTTTAACCTCCGTATTGTTTTTCGGTCTGTCTTTGTTATATAGGTGTCTTGTTTTATCTTCAAAGTTCCTTCTTATTTTTCGACCTTACAGTAACCTGTAACTTCGTAAGCGCATGCTGGGAACTGTATCTTATGATGACACTTTATAATCATCCGTATATTGCTCAGTAGTATCGTATTCTATGAACGTTCCTCTATATTCTTGTATTCTGATGTAAACTGGAAATTGGGTC